AAATGAGGACGATCACGACACCTGCCTCACTGGGTCGGTGGGTGCACCCCACGTGAGACACGGATGCTGGACACACATGGCAGAGGTAATGAAGGCTTCTGGGACCCCTTTTTCCTTTTAAATCGTAGGTGGCCATTGCAAGGTACTCTGGCTGGCAGATAGCCTACATTCTGTGGGGTAAGTGCTGTCATGTGGCCCATTCAATTCAGCACACGTTCCGTGGTCACCCACAGAGTCCTGGCTATGGGTGGGGAGGAGAGAGGTGCGTGGGAAGCAGCCCTGGCGTCTGCCCTTGAGAGCCCTTCAGGATGGAGGGAGAAACAAACACTCTCTAGGTCACCCTTACCACCTGTCCTGAACCCACGGGGCGTATATGCTAAGGTCGATGGTGACCCAGAGGAGAAAGTGACTATCCACGCCCAGAGCAGGTCTCAGATGTGTTCTCAGGGAGCTGACATTTGAACTGCACCTGGCAGGGTGAGTAGGGAGTAAGCAGGAAGGAAGGGGAGGCCATGCCAGGAAGAAGGAACAGCATAGGCAAGGATGCCAGGGCCTCTGGCGGGAGGATGGTAGAGGGTGGAATGCAGAGGGGGGCCTGCGGGTGACCGCCGGCTCCCTCGGCCCCCAGGCTACCTCGTCATCCACGTGGTGCAGAGCTTGTGCGGCATGGTGATCATGTATGGGCTGGTGCTTCCCATCATCCACAACCAGGCCCTGGAGATGCTCCAAGGGCTGGGCATCGGCATGTAAGTGCTGGACATCCTGTCACTCCATGGCTGGGTGCTGGGGTGCCCTCCCAGCTGCTCCCTGGGCCCGTGATCTTAGCTCTGACCCAGGGATGGGCCATGATAGCAACTGGCAGGGATGGGAACCTTACAGTTGACAAAAGGCTGCCTTTCCTTCTATTCCATGCAGCCCTCACAACCATGTATATGTGGGATACACATATGTCCATTTTCCAGCTGAAAAGAGGTTTAGGGAAATAAAGTGAGAGGCCAGACAGTATGATGGGAGGAGGCAGGGAACCCTGGCTAACCTTTGGGGTCTTCTGTGTGGCTTGGGGAAAGTTATTTCCCTGCTCTGGACATCTGTTCACACATCTGGAAGGAAAAGTGAATGCTACTCTCATTGAGCATTTACTATGTGTCTTTTCTCATAACAGCCTATGAATTTGGTGCTTATGTTGCCATCCATTTTGCAGACCAGGAAACAGAGACACTAAGAGTTTTGTCCAAGAAGTGGGACAACTCAGGATTTGGAGCTGGGCAAACTGAAACCAAAGCCTCCTTTTAACCAGTACACCACACTGCCACACAGGGTGTCAACACAGCATGTGGCGCTCTCTGGGGACCTCCCTGCTCTAACCTCCTTGGTTCCATAATTGCCTAGAGCCACCCGTGATTCTGGGGCACAGCCAGTATTTTCCACTCTCTTGTGGCCTTCTCAGGCACTTCTGAAAAACCCATTCCTTTCTTTGCTTCTCAACCTGTTAAGCCACTCGCCCAGCTCCCACCCCTGGTGAAAGCCAACAGCAGTGAACTCCTGGAGTAATGGGCTGGGATCTGGAGCCAGAAGACCTGTGCCTGTGGTCTTGGGAAAGTCATCTGCTCTTTGTGAGCCCCAGTTTCCTTACCTGCACCGTGGCCGTGGGAGTGCTTTGTACCGCAGGAGCTGATGCTACTGTTGTTCTGCTGAGTGGTCAGCGTCTCTCTCCTCTCTCTCGCCGGGCATCAGAGAAGGGCCTGGAAGAGTGTGGAAAGGCCACCTCACGACAGCCCCACCCTGTGTTTCAGCCTCACCATATCCATTGTCATGGGTCTCATGGTCCTGCAGGTGAGGATCGCTGCTGGCTTCTTCCTGCAGCCCAAGCTGGACACAGCTGACAAGCAGAAGCCCTTGGCTCTCGACAACAGGTGAGGGTGAAGCCAGGGGATTGTATGGCTTTGGCTTTGGCTTTGGCTTTGGCGGTCTCCCGGCCCTTCCCCTTCCCCTTGGCGGGTTCCTGGGAAGGCTCTACACTCTCTGAGAGGGTGTGGTGCAGGGGGCCAGGGGTGGGCTCTGGAGCCAGACTGCCTGGGCCAGGTTCTGGCTCCACCCAATGAGCTGTGTGACCTTGTGGGAGCTTCCTGAACACCTATGAGCCTCAGTTTTCCCCTTTATAAATTGTGCATACCTCACAGAGGTGTTGTAAGGGTGAAATGTGTTAAGAAATTGAACTTAGAACAATAGTGCTTGGCGCATGATAATCCTTTCTAATTCGTTCATTCAATGCCATCCACTCACTGAGGGAACAAGAGGGGCACTGAGAGTAAAGAGATAATCACGACACGACCTACCCGTGACATGCTCAGTCCACTGGAACAGATAGGCACATAGACAGCAGAGGACTCTGGAGGGTGAAAGAGCGTTACAAGAGAAGCCTGAACAATGCGGGTAGAGAGGTGGGAAGGAGGAGAGGCCAGGTGGTTAATCCCCTGCAGATGGGATGCTTGAGCTGAGGTCGGGAGGGTGGCAAGATTTCTGCCTGTAGGAAGGAGGAGAGGGCATGGCCGGCAGCCAGCACAGCAAGGACAAAGGCAGGAAGGCACAAAAGGGCAGACCGAGTCAGGAAAAATGTGAGAATCTCAAATGGCTGCTATGCAGTGGCCTTAGACATTGAGGGACACAAGGAGGACAGGGAGGGGACACAAAGTGACAAGACCAGAAAGCCCCCTCTCAGAGGGGTCCTGAAACTCAGGATGCAAAGTCCGGGCTTTGTCCCAGAGGCCACAGGAAACCACATGATCAGGTGGTCCCTTGGGAAGTTTCCTCTGGAAGACTTTGGAACAGCTCCGGCTGCGGGCAGGCCCTTGTTGCAACAGACAGTGGGGAAGCCCACCCTCTGCTATAGCCGCTGAACCACCAGTAGCCCCGGGAGATGTCTGATCCTACAGGAAGCTCAAACCCCACACATCACATGAAACAGTTACAGTCCCCATGGACCTTTGTCCCCCACTGTGCTCAGCCCCTCCACACCGGGCCCAAGCTGGACCTCAAACTAGTGCTGTGACTGGGAGCAGTCGGCCCCCCGTTAGGGCATGCAGTAGAAAAGCTATACACCGGGAGTTATAGGATTTGACCCTGGGTCTGGGGGACTCCAGAGCCCACCTGCACAGCCTCCTCGCCCTACTGAAGGGGGCTGCCTCGGCTGGCTTCTGTCTGCAGGAAAGCATTCCACAACTTCAACTACTTCCTGTTCTTCTACAACGTGCTGCTGGGCCTGGGTGCCTGCCTCTCCAGGCTGCTCATCAGCTGCGTCCTGGGCACGTGGCTCATCGCGCGCATCGACAGGACCATCATGCAGAGCGGCTACGAGGGGGCAGACATGGGTGAGCGGCCAGCCCCGCCTAGCCACATCCTCTGGGGCTGATACTGCACTCTTTCGGCAGCTGCCCGGCCTGGAGCTCACACCCTTCCCTCAAGCTCAGAGCTTATCTTCCGATGGAGGCTGCTCAGAAGGGAGTTCAAGGCTATTAATTTCCTGCCCACTTGGCAGACCTCACAGGAGGGGCAGTCAGAGGTAGTCGAAGTCTATATAAACAATTAGATTAACTTATGAGTGCACCGGTCTGAAAATCTTGAGAACGAACACATCTCAGAATTATCCGCATTGTTAGTTGGAAACTTAGTTAAGAAAATGTTCTGTTTAGTTGAAATACTCCAAAATCAGAGCCATTTCTGAGGAAGTGAAAGTAGTTTTCTATTTATTTCTAGCTCATGATCATTCATTCACTCACCGTTCTATAAATGTACCGATGCCTCCTTAGTATTAGCCGTGGCCGCTCCTAGCTCCTTTGAGCTTTGAGTTCCCTATAACATGGACAGATTAGAATACCATCCCTAAGAATCTTTCCAGATCTTTAGACCTCATTTTCTAGATGCTCAGCAAGGACTCAGGCACCACTAGGAGCAAACTGGCTCTGCAGTTGTAAAAAGTACAAACTGGGTCGTGTCGGGGAGCACTGCCGGGCCTGACGTGCCTCTGGCTTTCAGGGTTCAGCGCGTGGATCGGCATGCTCTATGTGGACCATTATCACACCAACCCCGTGCTCGTCAGCTTTTGTCACATCCTGATCACAGGCCACAGGGAGAGGCAGCTGCAGCAGGCCATCAAATACTGCTACATAGATCAGTCAGCAGGTAAAGGCTCCTGTTGGAACCTCCGCTGGGTTCAGACAGTAGAAAATAGACACCCTCGGGCTCCCTGGGATTCCTGAGCTGCCCCAGGTTCCACCTTCCTGCCCCCTTTCTCCATACTCCATGCCCTGGGTGCCCTTCAACCAATGAGTTCAGGAAGCTTAGCTTAGTTCCCAGTCAGCTTGGCTATGGGACCCACTCAGTCCTTGTGTCCTTGTCCTGCTGCCCGGCCTCCTCCCTTGCCTGGAAACTCTAATTCTGCTAGTAGAGTCCTCTGTTTCCCATTTGTTTGAGACTCCAAACCGTATCCTAGGCTGTGTGCCAGATGCCCCAGGCTGATTTGATTATTCCGCCCTGCCACAAGCTCTCTGAGCTCTCCTGCCTTTCATGGTGCAGACTGTGTTCATTGCTGTCCCCAACACCACGGATACCCAGGTCTGAGGGGAAACTCACATCCCTCCAACCTCCCTCCCGTTCCCAGGAGTCCAGGTCCTTCTGCCACACCTCGCACATTCTAGGTAGCTCTTCCAAAAGCCTTTGAGGCAAGCTTCCCCCTCCCCCCACAGCCCTCCAGTCTGTCTTCTCTGATTCTCTCCTAGGTCCACGCGTCTCAGCTAGGTCCAGGACGAGGTGGCTCCTGCTGCAGACCCTGATCAACAACCCCAGACTTGTCACACTCAGAAAACCGAAATCGGGGCACAGCTCCCGGGAGTTTACCCAGATGCTGCTGATGCACTCGGACTGCTGACACTGGCCTCCAACATCTGATCCAAAATCAGGCCAGGACGTCTGCACCCCGGAGAGGACTCAGTCTAACCAGCAGCTGTCCCCTGCAATGAGATGCGATGGTGCCTGTACTGTCCCTGCAGATGGCAGTCAGCACTGTCCACTCATGGGATGGCCACCTGGGCTGAGGGATGAAGTCTCAAGATTATTTCATTCCCTTGGCAAAACAGATCAAAAACTAAAGAAATGTCTATTGAACAAACTTTGCCCATTAATGACGTCTACTATCCATTGTGGGTAGGCAGCCTTGGGGATTCCTTGTTAAGAAGCACTTAGTTTACGTACAAAGTAGAATTTTGTGCCACTGAGGAAGGTGGTAAAATGTCTGCATCAGAAGAGTCTGACCATCAGATCCTATTTTCTCTGAAACAGAGTGTGGCCTTCAATCCAACAGGGTCCTCATTGCTTTCTTCTTTGTGGGCTTTATGGTGGGGGAGAGGAGGAACTCCATGATCCCAGCCTCCAGGCGGGCAGGACAAGTGGGCGCACACTGAGCTCTCTCCCAGGCCACTGTGATGAGGAATGGACAGAGCTGACCTGGGCCTTGGTCACAAAGGAGATGCACAGATGCTCTCTCACTAGGGTTGGGTCACTGGGAAAGCCACTTGTCTGAGGACGCAGACAGGGTAGGCAGGCATTCCAGGTGAGGAACAACAAGAGCTGTGTGAGTGTGCAAGCCCCAAGCATGTTTGAGGAAGGAGAGCCAGGTGGCATGTGGAGGTTCAGGGTGCTGGGGAGGCCCAAATGCCAGGGTGGAATGCTTGGATATTTTTCCTTGTGCAGAGCCGAGTACTTACCCAAATTCTTCATGCTGAAGCATAGGACATGGTCCAGGACCTGTACAAAATCTGTCCACTCCAAGTTCCTGATGAAGCCTGTACAACTACTGTGAGGACCCCATCAACAGGGCAGAGGGGAATCTCCAGCCACCTCATGAGTCCCGAAGCAATTGTGATTGGGTTGTTAACTGAACACGTAGTATAAACCCAGTCCTATTGCTAGTCCTATTGCAAACTTTGTTTGCAAAGTTGTCTCTTTTAGTCTAATCTCCACAACTGAGCTTTGCCATTCTGCTTTTAGAAACTGAGAAAACTAGGACTCAGAGTGTTGGGGTCCCCACACCACCACTTTGCAGCTGTGTGACATTGGCCAAATTACTTTGCCTTTCTTCATTCACTTTCCTTATCTATAAAAAGAGGGTAAACCCCCCTAAGACCCACCATTGTTCTGAGAAAAAAATTGGTTCGTATTAATACGTATGAACATCTTAAGCTAGTGTCTGACATATCCTACACTCTTAATAAATATCAGTTACTGTTATGTGTCATATAACTTTTTGTGAATGATCTGATTAATATCTGCTCACCCCCTCAATAAGATATCAGGCCTTCTCAAGCTTTGCTCACCATCACCAGACACACCTGTAATAGAACAGAATGTTGGAATGAATGAAAGAATGAGGCGAAGATGAATACATCTTTTGACAATAAATTCACTTACCAAAATCAATCATCATGGATTGAATGAATAGTGGGTGAATACCCGTGGAAAGCCCATATTGAAATGGAGAGGCTGATATGTAAACAACTGTCTGTGATTCAACCCACCACATGTAACATGGGCCTGTACAAAGTTCTATGGGGACTTGGAAAAGGAAACTACTAATTCTGCCTGTGTAAAGCTAATGAAGACTTCTCAGAAGAAGCAGCACGTGAGCTGGAATCTGCAGATGTGACGTGGGGCATTTCTCACGTGTTTTGGGGGAAGGGCAAGGCATGCCAGCTCTGAAGTTCTGGGTTCTGGGAGTTTGGAGATCATGCTAGATGGAGATACTAGGGGCCACTAGGCCTCTTGTTTCCAGGGATCCAGAGGAGGTAGACATAGAATATATTAAGAGAAGCATAATATTTCAAAGAACCTGCTGACAATCTTAGGTAGTAGAGCTCTAGGATTACCTATTACACTGCATTTCACTCCCATGCCACCCTCATGCAGGCTCAGACAAGACACTAAATGTGTCTGAAGACATGGAACCCTCCCTTATCCTCTGGATTCTACCTACCTCCTTTGGTGTGGGCCAGTCTCTGCCTCTTTGTGGTCCTCAGCTTCCCAACTGTACAATAAGGGGTTGGATGTGGTCCTGCATAAGCACGTGCTCAGCAAGGACATGGTGTCAGGCTCCATCAACACTGGATGGGTGTCCACTACAGGTTGGGCTTGGGTGCACACAGGTGCACAAGCCTCCTGACATGGTCAGTGGGGGTGGACCTGGAGCATAGGGCAGCCAGGTCCTGGGTCAAAGGCCAGGCGTGTACAAGGGAGTATGAGCAGGCCGAGGACAGCAGGTATACGTGAGCCCCGTCTCACCATGTGGACTCATACATGCACAATACACCAAAGGCTCTGCTCTTGAGGTTGACCCCGTGCAGTCCCCACCAACTAGCCTCTGCTTGCTCTTGGTGCCCCATGTCCTCTGGGGCCCCATGGTCACCCCCTGTGCATTCAGGCCACAGGGCACTGGACATGAGGGGCTTAGGGAGGAGGGAACCACTTGTCTGTTTCTCCACAGCTTTAGGGTGTGTTGTCAAACTTTTGAATTCAACAATTTTGTCCTACTGTGACTGAGCCTGAGCATGTTTTCATGCATTTAAAGTTATTGCTGTTTCTTTTTCTGTGAACCGAAGTTTAATGTCTTTTGCCAATTTTTCTACTCTGTGGCTGTTTTTCTTATCAATTTCTAGGAGATTGTTTTATATTGGGGATGTGAGCTTGGTGATATGAGTTGCAAATATTTATTCCCAGTTTATCATTTCTTCTTTTTATCTGATCGTGTTTTGGTTTGGTTTGGTTGTTTTTTCTGGGTTTTTTTGTGTGTTTTGTTTTTTGCGATGTATTACTAAGATGTTTCTTCTCCTCAAATTGGTCAACAAATTCATACAATCACTATAAGTATGTTATCAGTTATCTTGTGGAAACTGACTGGCCAATTTCCAAATTGACAAAGAAATACAAAGAGCAAAGACGAGTCAAGACAATCTTGAAGAAGAGCAGAGTTGGAGGACTCACACTACCAGATATTAAGACAGCTTAAAGCTGCCGTAATCAAGGCTGTGTGCACTACTAGCACAAGGACAGACACTAGGAGAAATAGAAAGAATAGTGGGTCCAACTTGTACCCATGCAGTCAGATATTTTGTATATGATAAGAGAGGCCCAGCAGAGCAGTGGGAAGAAGATGGTCTTCTCTGTAAATGGCCCAGGTCAACTGGTTCTCCACATGAGAAAGAAGTGAATCTTGACTCCTACCTCACACTGTAAAAAAAATAAAAATCTAAATGTGAAAGTTTAAAACAATATTTACAGTAAATAACATCAGAGAATAGTTTCATTACATTAGGCAGGCAAAGATTTCTTAGCTAAAACACAAAGTACATCACTCTTAAAGACAAAAATTGGTAAATTGGGTCTTACTAAAATTAAGAACTTCACATCAAAAGCCACGTTTAATGGAGTAAAAAGGCAAGAACAGAATAGGAATAAATATTTGCCAGATATTTATGTGGAAAATCTCATATTTAGGATATGTAACTAACTCCCATAAATTAATAAGAAAAAAGACAGACAATCCACCAGAAACACTGGGCAAACTATTTGACTAGGCATTTCACAAAAAGACAGCCATGTGGCCAGCAAGTATATGCAAAGGTGCTCGACACTTTTACTAATGAGGAAAATGCAAATTAAAACTACAATATGATACCACCAGGTAAAGGCTAAAATAAAAACAAGAGACTATAGCACATGTTGGTGAGGATGCAGAGCAACTGGAATTCTCATGCCCTGCTGTGTGTGTAAACTGATACAACCACTTTCAAAAATGGAGTACCTCTTAAAGATGGACGTGTACATTCTCTACGACCCAACAATACCACTCTTATGTATACACCCAATAGAAATGCCTACATATGTTCACCACACAAAAGAATGGTCAGAGTATCATTATGGTAGTCTCTAAATTGAAAAAATCCAAATGTGCATCAATAATAGGAAGCATAAATAAAATGGGTTTTTTGAAAAAATAATGGAATACTGTACAAAAATAAACTACAGCCACATTCAAAAATATGGATGAAACTTACAAACATAATGAAATAAGCCCAATATAGAAGAGTTCATTCTGTATGATTCCATTTAGATAAAATTCTTTTTTTTTTTTTTGAGACAGAGTCTCACTCTGTTGCTGGGGCTAGAGTGCCGTGGCTTCAGCCTAGCTCACAGCAACCTCAAACTCCTGAGCTCAAGCGATCCTCCTGCCTCAGCCTCCCAAGTATCTGGGACTACAGGCATGCGCCACCATGTCTGGCTAATTTTTTCTATATATTTTTAGTTGTCCAGCTAATTTCTTTCTATTTTTTCAGCAGAGAAAGGGGGTCTCAATCTTGCTCAGTCTGGTCTCAAACTCCTGAGCGCAAACAGTCCTCCCGCCCTGGCCTCCCAGAGTGCTAGGATTACAGGCGTGAGCCACCGCCCGACCTAGATAAAATTCTAAAAGAAACAAAACTAATTCAGATGTTATAATATTTATTATTCTTGGGGAAGAGAATTATTCTTTCAGAACATTTCATGTGCTGCTCTGGATGCTCCTGACAGCCCTGTGGTATTCCCTTGAACAGAGAAGAAACTGGCATTGAAGGAAGCAGCCGATCAGGAGTTTCACTACTCCACGTGGGGTGTTCCCATCGCTAAGGGCAAGTCCCTTTCCCAGGGAAGGCAGGCGTGGGCGGGGCGACCGCGGCCCCGCCCCTTCGCGTTGCCTTGGAGACCATGCGAGTCCTGCTGCAGTTGGTACTGGACCGGTCCTGGCTATCTTGAGAGGTGCTTTCTGCATGTGGGGCGCTGCCAGGCCTGGCGCAGGGCCTCCCTCCAATTCGCTGGACTCAAGGGGACGTCCAGGGGCTGGCAAGGCTGCTTGGGGGGCCCGGGAGGGGGACAGAAGGAACGTGGCCACTTCACCCTCCCTGCGTCCCCTGGAGGGTGGGGGTGGGGTCCTGGACCCGAGTTCAGCTGGGTTCCAGTCCCGGCTGACACCTTGGGCGCCTTGACTTTTCCCAGAAGAGCTTGGCAGAGTGAAGCACGAACAGTAATCCTGCATTATTCGTGTCTGCGAAGTCCTTCTCGGCTTTGCTCCCTCCGCAGCGGGGAGAGCCAGGTTCCTCGGCGAGTGGGGGCTCCTCGGAGGTTAGTTTCATCGTTGTTCCGCGCTCCCTCCCTTCTGCGTTTTGTTTAAAAGTAAAACCCTCAGCCTGCGTGGGGACCTCCCCCACCCTCACCCCTCTAGCCCCCGCCCCCAGTGGAGGGTCCCGCCCCTGGGGTTCTGCCTGGGTCGGTGGGGTGCCGCCTTCGGGGCCAATTGTTCCGCCAGGACCTGAGCTTGGGACGGGCGTTGGTTTCTCAACTGGTGGAACTGGTTTGAGATCCGGGTCCGAATTGGCACCAAACGCCTGACGCGTTTCCCTGACGACGGCTTCCCGCAGGGGCATCCAGCCGGCGGCCAGGATGTCGTCCGTGGGGAAGGTGACCCGGGTTCAGAATGGGAAAGTCTACCAGCAGATCTTCGAGGCTGAGGTAGGGCCCGCCCTCTGTCCCCTTTTCTCTGTCCCTGCTTCTCTCTGCTCTCCCCCCTCCCCCAAAACTCCCCCCAAACTTTCCTCCCTCTGAGGGCTTCCTGGCCTGGGAATCTAATGAAATACGGACTTTGAAATTACTTTGATTTTAAAAATAATTCTTATTGGTTCTTAAAATGTATGAATATAAATTAGAATGTCTATTCTTGAAAATCAGAAAACTTAAATTAAAAGTTTAAATTTAAATTACTCAGAAATAGCCTGGATGAACCACTGAGCACCCTGTGTCTTTTTCCCATGCATAAAAGCGTTTCTAATTTTTCTATTTAAAAAATTGTTTCCATTCTGTACTAATGTTCTGAAACCTTCTTTTTCTCCTTAACAGTGTCTCACAGACCCTATCCCATGCCCGTGGGCATCCATATACTTCTCGCCTGCTTGTTGATCTGTGACTCCCATAACTGCATTAAAGTAAAGCCCTCTTTATTTTAATCACTGAAATTGCCTTGTCCTCTCTAAAGCACTGTACAGACAAATGAAATCTTAAACACACAGACCACAACCCTTCCTTTGAAGTTCTGTGCTATTTATTTAAAAGAGATTTTCATTCCTAATTTGAACCCTAAATAATGCCCTCTGTAGAACCTTTGGAAATTATAAAAGTATAAAAAAGCCAAAGAAACAATTAAATTATTCACACAATCCTACTCCCTCTAAGCAAGAGGCCATTCTTAATGCTTGGCACACTTCCTCCAGGTCATTTTTCTATACATTTTACATTTTGAGATCATACTGTGTAATTTTGGTTATAATTTTTAATTTATGTTTTAAATTGATACGTTTAATTATACATCATCTCATAAGCATTTCTTCATGTCATAAAAAATTTAATTCTTTGTAGGTGTCATCTTTAATAAATGTCTGACATTCCATCTAAGGGACATACCATGATGACTCAACCAATCCCCTACTATTGGACCATTCCTTTTTTCCAAATCTTTTTGATTATAAAAAAGGCTGAAGCTGGGCGCAGTGGCACATGCCTGTGGTCTCAGCTACTCAGGAGACTGAGGTGGGAGGATTCCTTGAGCTCAGGAGTTCAAGACCAGCCTTGGCCATAGAGCAAGACCCCATCTCAGATAAATAAATAAATAAATAAGTAAAAATATATAATTTTTGAAAGGCTGATGTGCATCCTGGTCTTCATTTAAATTTCTTAAAAAATGCCTTCCTTGAGGGGGCTAAATGACTTGGAGGAGGAGACCCCTCCTGCGGGGGGTGTGCCCTGGGGTTGAAGGCCTCCCCGCAAAGTGCCTTACTAGCGGCAGGTTCCCAGGGGTCTTTCTAAGACAGGCACAATCAGCCTTAGGGTACTGGGGACCCAGCAGCTCTGACCGCCTCCTCATTCGTGGTCATGGTCTTCCCTGGATTCAGGTGCAGCTGATCCACTCCCTGGCCGTCAGCAGGAAGCAGGCCGCAGAGCATTATGTGCCCCCGAAGAGTGGCAGGGCACCCTTGATGAAGAAGGTGGAAATTCCTGAAGGAGAGATGATGTCTCCTCGGCAGCAGAAGTGGGCACACAGCCTCCCCAATGACTGGGTCACAGAAAACCCTGTTCTCTACAGGTAGGTCCTACTGTCCAGGCCCCACCCCCACACACTGGGGGTGCCTTAGGGTCTTCAAAAACTCAAAAAGACCTTCCACAGGATGAGCACCAGGTAGGAATGAAATCTCCCCTAAAACAAGGAGGTAATAGCACCTACTTTGCAGGGTGGTTTGCTTCTCTCTCCCCACTCCCCCCTCTAATAATTATTGCTTGTGTGCTGAGGGCCAGGCACTGGCTGTGGGGATCCCACCCTCATGGACCTTGAGGTCTCAAATGGAAATGAACAAACAGTCCCCCCAGTGGTGGGAAGGCTCTGACTAGAGGACAAGGGCTATGGGACAGGAGTTAGGATAGCTCTGAGGAGGGGCCTCAGCTGGGACCAGAGGGTGAGGGAGGGAAAGGATGGGGGCAGGGCTCTGAGAAGGACAATCTTGGCCCATTCCTGGAGGCTGAAGGCCAGTGGGCTGGAGAGAGGGCAGGAGGTGGGGCTGGGAGAGGCCTTGCAGGCCACAGTCAGTGTTTTGGACTTTACTGCTGTGAGCAGCTGATTTGCATTTTTGAGGTCCCTCAGGCAGCTCTGTGCAGAATGTGGGGGACTGCAAGAAGAGTCAGAGAGGCCAAGGAGGAGGTCACTGCAGTTGTCCTGGTAACCTTGGTGGTAGCTGCGAGAGAGAAATTAGGGGTGGACTTCAGGTGTCTTCTGCAGCCAGAACCCACAGGACCTAGGTCTCCAGCCAGAGTACTGGGTGGACGGCAGGGGTGCCGTTCCTTGAGATGGGAGCAGGTGGGGTGGGACAGGGAGATCAGGAGTTCCTTGCAAACTTCCAAGTTCGGAAGTTAAACTTGAGATTCCTAAGCATGCCATTTCATTCTGCTGAGCTCAGACCCTCAACTAGAGAAAAAAGGAAAGAAAAGGATTTTCCTCCCAGGATTCTTGGGAGCATAAAGCAGAAACTGGGCTTCCCTTGGGCTCTTCAAACGCTGCACAAGCCATAAACCTCTTGCCTGACCTGGGACTCTGGGACGGGAGGTCAGGCTTCCTGTACCTGCCTTGCTGTCTCTGTCACCCTTTTTGGGTCAGGGACAGACCCAGTGCTGGGTACAGGTCTCTGCCCTGCCCTGACCTTTGGATTTTCCCAGGGAAACCATCCCAGAGGCTTCTGACCCTCAGTACCTTAACTACCTACAAATGGGCAAGTCCACTGGCCCACCCCAGCCCAGACTCTCCAGCCCATGTCCCCCTGCCCGATGCCCCAGGTAGGGACCCAGAGGCACAGGCAGCTGGGGCCTGTCCAAGCTCCAGCCCACCTCCCAGGAGGGCAGTGTGGCAGCCTGCTGTGACTCCAGCTCCCACAAGGTCCCGAGCCTGCTCTCAGCTGACCTGTTCTCATCCAGGCCTGGGGTCTCCCAACATCTCCCTGTGTCTCTTGAGGGTTCCTTCTTCCCCAGGGTTCAGCCTAGGACCACCCAACATTCCAATATCCAGATACAGCATGGGTCAGAAGCTCTTGGCACCAACAGGACAGTGTTTTGGAAAGGCACTTCTCATGGAGTGCTGGTATTGTGCTGTGCTGGCCTCCTGGGACAGACAGACAAGCCCAGCTCTGTCCTGGACACAGAACCAGGGCGCAGCTCCCTGTGGCCTGTGGCAGGAACAAAGATGTGTTTGTAACCTTCCAGGCCCTGCCATCCTCAAATGACTGGGGTCACCAACTCGGCATCCAGAGTCTCTCTTGGATTAGTTGTCCCCTGCCCCTGACAAGTGTTTCCCTTCCTCCCTCCCTCTCTGCCCACAGCCTTGGCTGCCTTCACTTTCTCCCCGGCCAGCCCAGCCCTGCTGGTTGGGCTGCAGGCTCACCTTCCACAGTCCCCATTCTTCTTCCCACCCAGCAGAACTTCCATCCGGCTTCCTGAATATTCCATGAGCCAGGGCAGCTGGACAAACTCGCCCAGCCCATGGGAGAGGGACACGCCCAGATGCAGCAGCCCCAGCTCACCTGGACCCTCTGGGCAGCCAGGAGACTCACAGCAGCTGCCCTGACCTGTCACCCACCCACAGCTCCTCATCCCACTGCAGTCCCCACCAGTGTATCCCCTGTTTACCACAGGCAGGACCTCCCTGCTCTCCTGGCTGCCCCCGGCACCTCCCAGGGCTGTGGAACAGCCCGGTGCAGCCTTGGCTTCCTGGTGTTGTCTCCTCTAGCCTCCCTCTCCCTCTGCAGGGAGCCCTTCCTCAAATGTCCATCCCACTGTCCCTCCCCTACCTCTGGCTGGGCGTTCTATCAACCCTGCTCCTGGAGTGAGCTCCTTCCTCGGGAATCCCTGGCCCCTGGGCTTCCCCACACAGCACAGCCCCTGGGGTTCCTGTTCCTCTTTCTCTGCTCCCCTTTGTGGGCCAGTGCTCTTAAGTCTTCCCTGGCCACAAGGGCCAGCTCCCTCTAGATGCTCTGAGGAACTAGGAGAGGCCAGACTGGGCCAAACTGATGAATGGCAGGGCCAGGGTGCCAAATTTTCCTTAGGCCTCAGAGCATAGGGTTCAGGTGCTTGAAATTTAGCCAGCCAAGGCCGGTCCACCTGTGTGCTCGTGCATCCAGGGCAAGGCCCCTGGGTGAGTGGTGCCCAGCCCAGGGCAGGGGGTAGATGACCACTAGTGTAAACAAAGCTTCCAAGTCCCCAGGGCAAGCAGCCAAGAAGCCAGAGCTAACAGCAGTTCTCATGGTCCTGTGGGTTCCTATGGGCTGCCTTGGTCCAGGGGCATTTGGAATGACAAGGCCTGAAAGACCACCTCTAGAGGGTTGGCCTGGGCCCCATCTGCTGCAGCCCAGCCCTGCAGTCCCCTCCCTGCTAGGTTTGCAGAGAGGACTAAATAAGAAGTCAGCTGGAAGGTGCTGGACACATGAGGGCCCAAGGAATGGCAGCAGTCACCGAGAACTGCAGATTTCTGTGGTGCTTGCCCCATAGACAGCGCATTCTTGAGTTTTGATTCCAAAGCTCATGTCACGGCCACCTCCCTGGTCCACCCTGCTGAGATAGTTTGTCCTGGGATCTCAGCTCTGTCCTCCCTCACCTGAACCCCGTGGGCCTTGGTGTCACGAGGTTGTTCTTGGAGTCTCAGCTCTCTTCATACAGTGGCTCCTCTGAGCCCCCGCTCCTTCCTTCCTGGAAAATGGGGTTACCCACCACAGGATGGGCTGCTGAAGGAGCGAACGAGCTTGTGTGCTGGAGCGCAGCACGGCCTGGCTCTGGGGTTCCCAGGTGGACCATGGCTCCGGCCCGTCCCCACCCTTTGTTTACCACCAGAGCCGAAGCAGACTCCCTGGGGGTGGAGACCCAGCGACTTCTTGTCTAGGGACCCGCCGCATCTGCTGGCAGGAGACACGCAGGCAGCATTTGCTGGGAGCCTGGGCACTGCTTCAGGAGTCTCTGGAACTGGGGCCTGGGCAACCCATCTGGACACTCCCCCATGTGCCAGAACTGCCCTGGGTGGTGTCATGACTGGGGGTGGGGGTAGCTTTATTCTCCTCTGCTCCTGCCTCAGGGAAAAGGAAATAGCGCACAGGGAGAAAGTCCAGGAGACTGAGAGCGCTGCCGCCGCCCGAGAAGTGCGTGGCCTCATGGACACGATGGGTGAGCCTCCTCCAGCCTCCAGCAGCCCTGCCCCGGGCCAGAGAGAGCCCTGTGTGTGTGTGTGGGGGGGTGGTCTCCTGGCCCCTCCTCTGAGGAAGCCCCTGAAGCCCCTGCTGTGTTCCTCTGCCTGGCCTACGGACCTAGATGGCATTCTCCCCTGAGCCCTCTCCCCTGTGTGGGGGGCTGCCTGCGCGGTGGGCATTTGCTGATGACAAACAGTTGGCTAAAGGACGTCGCTCGCCTCCCTGCAGTTTCGCGATAGTGTTTCTCCATCCACACTTGCTGCCTTCATCCTGCACTGTCCTGATCTGACTTTATCCCAGTACGGAGGCCCCTTTTCTTGACGATAAAAAAGCGCTACGTGCTCACTGTAGAGAAACAAAGGAAGGAGATAACGAGAAAGTAAACCCCCCTCCACAATGGCGCTCCTGCTTCCCCCATTAACCCACGTGGTGTCCAGCTTCCCGCCTGGGTACAGGGGTCGGCAGAGCGCGGGGGTGAGCGCAGACCCTGGAGCAGGTAGCTCACACACTGGCCGACTGTTCCTTAACCCCCGTGCCTGAGTCTCCTCACTTGTAAAATGAGGCCAGGAATAGAACCTGCCTCTTGGCCTCCTCATGAGGAGTGACTGAGTTAGAACGACACCTATGACATGGAAGGTGCTGCATAAATGTGTTGGCAATTATTATTTGTGTATGTATTTGCTTCTATAAAACATTTTTTGAAAACATAAATTACATATACATGTAACTGTATGTCTGAGGCCTCATTCCCTATAGCACTCATGGACCCCCTTCATCTTTTCTCTTTTTGCCGAAGCCCCTGCCATGCTGGCCTGGCTTCGGGGTCCACCTTCTGAAGCCAAGCCCTGGTGTGCAGGCGCTCTCTGCCAGCGCAGCCTTGTCCTGAGAGCTCTCCCCTCTCCTGGGGGCTCTGAGGGCGGCCCCATCACCTCTGCTGTTGCTCCGCAGTTCCCGAGAAGATAAACATCGTCACCCTTCGAGGGCGAGAAGAGCACACAAGGAAGAGCTACGACAGCGCCCTGGCGAGCTTTCAGGAGGAGATTGCTCAGATCGGGATGGTGAGGTTCCTCCCTCTCCCTCCTGCTCACTTCCTGGACGGTTCTGAAGGCAAAGATGGGTTTGTCACGGCAGGCAGCCAGCCTCCCTCCCTCCCTCCTCAGCTAGGAGGTCCGCGGTGGTTCACCAAGACGAGACGTAGGCATAGATGGAACTGTAGCCATGTCTGAGTGGCTCTCTGTGAGTGCTTGCTGTGAGTATAGCTCCCTGTAACTCTTGCAGACGCGCTCTAAATCACGTGCTGTGCTTGCCCATTTTGCAGTGAGGCTCAGGGAGACTCCCTGACTTGGCATATCAGAGGCCAGGTCGGAACTGCCCTCCATGTCTGATGCCAAAGCCCAGCCTTTGACCTTCCTGCCCAGTCCTGCTGGTGGGGGCCCAATGGTGTGCTCCCAGTGACAGCTCAGTGCTGCCAGACCCTTATGCACTTCCCCACACTCGGCTCTCATTCCTCCCCCGAGACCTCATCTCTAGACATGCTGGTGCCCAGAATGTTCCTGAAATGAGACCAGCCTTTGCCCTTCCAGGTTGCTCTGAGTCCCAGATTTCCATTCACCCCTCTTCTCCCCAAGTCTTCTTTGACTTGTGTTTCCCCACCCTGGATTCCTGGAGCTGTCTCTGTACCCAAAGGACCAAGCCACGTTCCTCAGTACGTCCCACCTAGACACCAGCTCTACTTTCACCCATGAGCTCTGTGGCATTGGTCAAGCAACCTACCTGAGCCTCGGTTTCCTAATCTGCAGTAAACTTGGCATTCTTTCATTTGGCCACCTCTTTAATTAATATTTGTTGAGTGCCAGCCCTAGGCTAGGCCTGGTATCAGAACCTACATCACAGGCTGTGCTGAGAATCAGGTGAGTTGAGAGGGAGGCAGAGTGCTGGGCATGTGGCGTGGCTGCCGTTATCCTCTGGTTGTGAGTTAATTGGTAGACCCTAACTCCTCAGGTCAAGGTCATGATCATCGTTTTTGAGATTGGACCATGCCTGGTACTTCCCCATTACAGGGAGGGCTCCCTCCTTCCCAGGGTTTGATGCCATGGCCATCACCCTCCTGGCCTGTTGCAGGACATGGAACCTCTCCTCTTGGAGACAGGGGGACTTTTTTTGAAAAAACTGTCTGAGTCTAATGAAGACGTCGACAGTCTCTTCAAAAAGGTGGAAAACGACACCAACCTCGAGGACTACACCATGCAGGTAGGGCCCTTGGTGGCTGGGCCTGCCTCCCCCAGGTCCTGCTCCTTCCCTCCCTCCTGCCAGCTCCCAGCCTGACCGGAACTTCTCTGCATAGGCCCTGTCGGAGCTGTGGAATAAGGTGGCCAAGACGTTCCAGCTCCAGAAGCAGAAGATCAAGGAACTGGACGAGGCGCTACACTCTCTGGAGTTCTCCCGCGCCGACAAAGTGAGCTCTTTGGTGCTTTTTGCTTGTGGGATTTATTGGGCATCCTCTGCTTCCTTTTAGTTCTTCAGGAAATGAGTGGCTAACTATGGCACCTTGCCATTTCTAGCTAAAAAATGTGTTGAAGAAGTATGTGAAAATCATAGAGAAAACTTCCTATCTCATGCAGCCCGATGTGTACAGGCTGATAGATAAAGAAGCCATGGTGAGTGGTTTTCCCCTTCGGGCATCAGCCCGTGGAAGAAGGAGCAGGACCCCGGGGTGCCCTAGCCTGGTGTCTCAGGAACGGTGGGCGTCTCATCCGTAACATTTCCAAGTACTCGGGGGGGCCTCATAGGTCGGGAATCCGAGTCTTTGCTATTTTAAGCATTTTCCGTGGAAATCTCTCTCAAGTGCATGTCATGTTTCCCTGCCGTCTTAAACCAGGCACGCCTGCCACAGTGCCAACATTTGGAGCACTGCAGCACTGATGATCTTACTGTGTCTCAGGTACTACGTGCAATGCGATAGGTGTGACTCTGTGGAGTCATCATCTTGGGGTCATCACGGTCTCAGGACAGCTTCCACCCTCACGAGAGACCTGCTCTGCCTGCTCTGTCTAGTTTTCCTAGTTGTTCTTGTCTCTCTTCCTACTGGTGGTCAGTACCTGTTGCTGAGCCACGCCTGCCCCTTGGCTGTGTCCCCACTGCTTCCCCCTGTCTACACCCTCACCCTTCACCAGCTGCTTTCCTTGGGGTGGAAAATACGAAGTTCGAAGTTGTCCATGATGTCTCCAAACTCAGAGCAAAGCCTGACCCCTCCACTGTGAAAAAGGATTCTTCTTTTGCCTGCTCAGAAGTGCATTTTGCTTTTGTGGGTGTCCTGGTCCTGTGCAAGGAGCTGAGCTTGTCGGATAACAGGCCTGCGGATAGCACAGAAGGCTAAAAAGAGGACATCTGTTCAGAATCACAGATGGGTCCAGCCCAGGTCTCTGCTGTGTGTCCTGGACAAAGCGTAGACAGGGAGGGAGCACAGACCTTCTCCACTGCCCAGACGCGGAAGCTCCCGAAATGACTTGGCCCCAGCACTGGGAACTCCTTGGTCCACGAAATGAGGATGATACAGATGCTCCTTGACTTATAATGGGGCCACCTCCCAAGAAATCTGTCATAAGTCAAAAATATCATAAGGCAAAAGTGGATTTAATACCTCTATAAGCCAATCATAAAGTCAAAAAATCCTAAGTGGAACCATCATCAATTGAGGACTGTCTGGAATACCAACCCGCCAGGACTTGTTGGGAGGATAATAAGAGAGCTCAGCTCCCTTTGCCATCAGGGATAGCGCCTAAACCGCATGCATTTCATCCTTTAGGAGAGCCAGGGTTCCAGTGTCCTGGGTATGTTTCAATGTTTCACTTCCCTATGCTTCTTTTACTCAGTGTGACAGCTAGCATTTGCTACTTGCTCTATGTGCACGTATCTCATTTGATTTCACAAAATCCTTGCGCTGTAAATGGCATTATCCTCAAGCTATGGCTGCGGATCTGGAGGTTGAGGGATACTTCCCAATGACCCCAGCTAGGAAATGCAGCTGCATGAAACCCCAGGTCCACTGAAAAGCATTACCGCAATTTCTACCCACTGAGCATGGCAGGGTTCTCGTTCCGCCCAGGGCACTGCCGCCTCCCTAGGGGGCTTTGGGAAATGTGTGGCGGCACGTGGAGAAGTTTCTATGCCTGGGAGGATGGGGGCAGCTACTGTCATCTAAGGGTCGTTGGGATGCTAAAGTGCAGAACAGAGCCACACAATGCAGGATTGTCCCCACCCCCGTGCCATGGGTGCCCAGGCGAGAACTCCTGGGAGGACGGCTGAAGAATGCGCCAGCTCTGGCCTCGTTTGGTCATTGGGTCCTGGTTCTTTTAACAACCATATGTGACGGGTCCCTGATGGCATGAGCACTCTGCTTTTGGAACAAATTTATAAAAAAGAGTAAACACTGAGAGCCCATTGAGTGCTTAACTCCTTTCACCGTCTGTAACAAAGCATGCCCTATAGCCTTGGAACTGGGTTGAAGCTCATGCAGTCAAGGCCCACGGTTAAGCTTCCAGGGAGGACCGTTGTCACTGTCCATGGCTGCTCAGCCCAGGCAGTTTCCTCAAGTGCCCACTGACCCCTCAGTCCTCCTCAGTGGCTGCCACCACCACTTAGCCCTCAGCCTGCACCTCCACTGCCCCCTCCAGCCTCCCACCGCCCCTCTCTAACTGAGGTTTCCTTTGACCTGCGAGCCCCTGCCCTGTCTACAGCCCTGCCTGCTGTGACCACAGGTCATAAACCATGCCCTGCTGGGCAACCGGAGGGCCCTGGCCCAGCTGTTCGTCAACCTGATGGAGGCCACCCTGCGGGAGGAGCTGGACAGCCACCACCGCTGGCAGGGCCTGGTGGACACCTGGAAGGTTCTCAAGAAGGAGGCCCTGCGGGAGAGTTTCAGGTCTGTGGCTGCCCACATTGCCCCGCTCTTCCCCCAGCCCACCGGGCGCCAGCAAGGGCCAGAGGGGGAAGTCTCCCTCCTTCGCAATATTTTGGTGTATTTTCCCCCGGGCTCTTTCAGATGCATGCAGAATATGCAGTTGTATATCTTAGTTTCTTCATGAACCTTATTTTGTAAGCATCTCTGAGCTCAGTGCAAATAGTTAGAACACTTTCGTCTGATTATCTGTATGATATGCATGCTGTATTATTACTCATAACCCCGTGGTTACTGGGCCCGGGAGAACAGACAGATGTCTTGCAGGCAGACACTTCCCACCCTTCGGGAGCATGTTTCCCCACGGGTGGGAGGGTGAGGAGAGGGCCCATCTCCATGCTTCCTCCACCAAGTGGCACTTTTGCTGGGCGTGAAGGACAAGTGTACCGAGGCCTGGCTCCACCTTGTCCTTCTATGTGACCTCAATCAAGTCCTTGAACATTCAGAACCTGTCTATTCCTGTGCAAATCGGACTCCATAATGGACCTGTGACAAGGTCTCGGTGATCCAACTAGACACTGTAGTGAAAGTGCCTGTCTGGGCCTGGGACTGGGAAGTCATTATGTCAAAAAATGCCCACAGCGATGGCAATGGCCGACATTTCCCGGGCATTTCTCGCGAGCCAGGCACGGTGCTAAGGGCTTTGCTCGCATCATCTTACTGAGTCCTCACAAGTACCAGATGAGGAAGGTGCCATCATTAGCTCCATTTTACAGAAGAGGAAACTGAGGCTTAGACTGGGGGAGGGACTTGCAGGCAGGTTGCAATCAGGACCCCCACTGGATCTGAGCCTGCTGGTTCCGTGCTCTTAGTGCCAGAGCCTCACTGGCGGTAGCTCTGTTCTTCGCTCCTGCCCTCTCTCCCCTCCTTTCTTCAGGGTATTGGAGGCAGAGGTTGGGGAGGAAGGGGCTGGGGGTGGTATAGGGAAGAGGTGTTGGGACTCTGAATGTTCCCGCCCTGGGCCTCCTGCCCTCTTTCACCCCTGCCCTGCTTGTCCTCTCCTCTCCATGGTGCCAACGTGTCTGGCTGCCCAGTGAGTTCATGGCCAGTGAGGATATCCGGGCTCCTCCAGCCGTGAAGAAGGAACTCGAGGTCATGCTGAAGACCCAGAATGTTCTGCAGCAGAAGCGGCTGGAGCATCTCTGCACCATCTGGTATAGGGGGCGGGGGGGTCCAGTGGCAGGGAAGGTATGGCCTTCAGCGCTTTCCCTGAGGCATCCTCCAAACCAGGCCATCTCCCGGCCCTCTGGTCCTGGACTGGCTGCCTGGACTCACATTCTGGGGCATTCCAGCCCCAGTGGCAAGAAAGAACAGGACCTATTTGCTGCAGAAAGGAGTTTAGTGTGACTGTGCCAATGTCACACTAAACTTGAAAGAAGCCATGGATAAGGGTGAGGGAGGATGATGAGGTGGGGGCCAGAGCACACAGGGCCAGGTGGAGGGATTTGGACCTTTTCCTGAGGGCAGTGGGGAGCAGAGTGGCTTCATGGGCTTTGCAGTTGGAAAACATGGAAAGAGGGATCTGACGCTGGAGGCTGCTGCCATCAGACAGGGCACCGTTAGAGGCTGTGGACACTCCCCTCAGATGTTGGTCCATCCCACCCAGATCCTCTAATAAAACTATTCAATGGGGTGCCCACTGGATGCTCTAGACCCTGGAAGCCCACTGCCTAGGAAGCCCACTGCCTGGGACGGAGCCTGTGCGGTACTACAAAGCAGAGATACCGTGTGCTGGGAAAACGTGCCTCCTGTTCTCCTGCACCTGGCAACTCTGGTTCCCAGGGTCTTCTCAGCTCCTCCGTCCAGAGCCTTAATTCTCCTAGGATATAAATGACTATTAGGATCCCATGTGGCTGAGCCAGAGGGCTTCCCCCAGGCACACACCTCCTGCCCCACTGTGATCCAAGTGTAAAGGACAAGGAAAAACGCTCGTCATTTTCCATAATTTAACTTGTTTCTGACTCTGAGCCCCTGTTCTTTAAGCTGGACAAAACTTGGTCTTTCTTAGGGTCTCATCCCTTGAGACAAAGTTCTGGAATGTCATACAATCTCAGGGCTGGTGTTGGGGTGTATGGTCCTCAGCAACAGGTCCACACTGGGCTCCTGCTGGACGCAGGAATCTCAAGGAGGCTGCTCTGAGCCCAAGTCTTCATGCCTGGGCAGAGTTTCCCTCCAGGGCCACTGGGCTTTGCAGCTCCTCCCACGGTGCCACCAGGAACAGAATCCAGGCTGCCACTGCCAGGAACCTGCCAGTCCTGCTCTGTTCCCACTTACCGCCACCCCATTTCTATTGTGGTGGGGCAATGCCTGGTCCCCGGGGCTCTCAGCCCTCTCCCACAAATGCCTTCTCCTCGGCAATGCGCTAGGCTCACCTAGGAAATTAAGCTTTTGAAAACAAAAGCCAGAAAGATTTCTAGGCTGCCTTCCCTTCTGCCTTGCCACATCCCTCTCATGGGCTGCAAATGTGGGCTGGCTGGCTCCCTGTCTGAATAGAGGGGAGGGACAGGTGCATGGAGAGAAATGCATCCATAGATGCTTCTGGCAGCAGGTGTCTGCAGGTGGTGCTGGGTGGGCCGTTTGACCTGGCCTGGAGGAAGGTGGGGGTGACTCTGCAAATCAGAGGAAGAGTGGGTATTGGCAGAGTGAGTGTTGGCAGGACCAGGCAGCCCCTTCACAGCGGGAGAATGTAGACAGGCGAAGTCAGGACACGATTCTAATGCCAGAAGCATGGACTGTGAACACAGGCTCGAGCACACAGGCCTGAAGGTAAAGGTGCGCAGCCTTAGTCACAGATTCAGGCGGACCTCAGCAGGGAAGGCTGAGGTCCTGGTTGGTCTGTGTCAGCAGAACTTGATAGTGCCCTGAAAGCCCACTGTGTAGATGCCCCCTATTCTTCCCTGACCCACCGGGCAGCAAGGGGCCTTCTAATCAAGCGCGGGGAGCTGTCCCAGGGAACTGCCTCATAGGGCGGCATGGGGAGTCCCACACCCCTTCCCAGCCCGCAGCTCCGGGGCCTTCCTCCTGAAACCCTCAGCCCCAGAAACCTGGACCTGGGGAGACCCTTGCTGCTGCTCCTACACGGGCCCTGCCAGGGCATGTGGTAGTGATGGCAGAGGGGGCGTCCAGCTAAGATTCCCCAGGGCCTGGGAGAATCCCCATGGATGTTCTTGGCCCCAATAAGTACATGTACATATACTTTAAAAATAATTTTTCAAAAAATGAAGTTCGTATTTTGGAGTCATGTTAGATTTACAGAAAAGTTACAAAGAGACCACACGGAATTCCTAACCCTATCTCCTCACCCAGTTTATCCTAATGTTTCCATCTTACATCACCACTAGATGTTCTGAAGAAAATAATGTTGATCCTTTTAACTACACACCAGACTTTACCTGGATTTTACCAGTTTTCCCGCTCGTGTCCCCTTGCTGTCCCAGAAGGCCACACTATGTTTAGTGTAATGCTTAGAGTTGAGGCTGTGCTGTACATACTCTTGTCCCTACCTTTTGCTCTTCGCCGCCCCGTCATAGGTAGGATGACCAGAATCCCAGTTTGCCCAAGACCATCCTGAGTTACACATGTTGTCCTGGCATACTCCTGAGTAGGATACCTTTCACTGTCAAAAATGTCCTGGTTTAGACAAGAAATCATAAGGTCCTTCCAGCCACAGGAACCTTTCCACACCATTCAATGTCACCCAAAACTTAGTGTCTTAAAAACAGTCATTTCTAGGTTGCACAGTTCTGTGCGTCGGCTGGTAGCTTCCCTGGTCTGGGCTGGTTTGGCCAGGGTTGGGTGGTCTAGGATGGCCTCACTACTGTGTCTGGAGTCTCTGCTGGGTCAGGTGGGGACTCTCTCCATGTGCTCTCTCAGCCTCCAGGAGGCCAACCGGGGCTCCTACACATGGTGGCTAGGAGAAGAGGTCCCCGCAGCAAGAGAGGGCAAGCCCACGCACAGCCCTTCCCAAGCCTCTGTGTGTTGTATTTGCTAATGTCCCACTGGCCAGAACCAATCCCGTGGCTGTGCCCAGACTCCAGGGGTGGAGAAAAAGACTCTATCTCCCAGTGGGAGGAGCTAACAAAACTGACTACTTTTCAATCCACCGCACTATTTTTAATGACTTCAGAAGAGGATTCACTGTAGGTTATTTAGATGGCTTCCTATTGTTGGATATGAAGATTTTTCATCATCATTGTGTGTGCTTATAAACAGTACTGTTAGGTGAACATCTTAATGCATACACTTTGTGTGCATTTTATATTGTGCTCTCAGAGTAGGTTGTTAAAACTAGGCTTCCTTGGTCAAATGATGTGAAGTTTATTTTTTCCCACTGGGAAAAATCAGGGTTTTTTCTACGTGACAAACTCATTCATATTAAAAGACCTTTTTGAGATGTATGTTTTTGGCACCAGGAGATCCCCAGGAGGTCCCTTTGTTTCTTCAGTATTTAAATGAATAATTTTCTGGAGCTATAGTCCTTAAAGATGCTGTCCACTTTGGTAAGTAAGCGTTTTGTTCATGTGTGGCTTACTCGTCATATCTTCCTTCCCCAGCGACCTCCTGCCCCCCAGTTACAGCAAGACTCAGCTGAATAAGTGGTATTTTTCTCTCAAGGCCCTGAACAAGCAGCTTGGTGAGTGATGTTTGTGGGACCCCACTCGGGTCTCCCCAGAACTCTGTTCAAATAGTGGCTTTGTCGTGGCTCAGCCAGGCAGTCAGTCACCTGTCTGAAAGGAAATGGGCGGTACCTCCATCCTGGGGAGAGGAAAGGCAATGTAGGGGGAAGAGTGGGCTCTGAGGGCTCATAAGCCCCCTTCCTCAATTCCCGGCCCCCCCCACCCAGTTCACTTTACAGCCTGCAGCCAGGTCAGCCACACACCACACACTCTGACCCCTGATTCTTGACCCCTGACCAAGCATGGAGACAGAGAGATGGCTCCAAGGACCACCTCTGAGGATGGCTCAGGGGACGTGTCCTGAGAGAATGAGGTGAAGCACATGATCTTGCAGTAAGAGACATGGGTTTGACACCCAGCTCTGCCCCACCCTGGCTGTGTGACCCTGGGGAAGTCAGGGCCTCTTATGGCCTCCATTTTCTCCTGCATAAAACAGAGATGTCAAGAGGAGTAATAATGGTCCCCACTTGTGGGGCTGATTTCCAGCAGTATTTCCGTGCCTGGCTTACACAGGGAGTGCCCAATCATTCCCACGGTAATGTGCAAAAATGCCCTCTAACAAAGGTCATCAGACTGCAGCCCGTGAACTGGCTGTCCGTTTTGTAAGTAAGTTTTACTGGAACACAGCCGCCTGTTTGTTTACATATTGTCTCTGATTGCTTTTGCTTTAAATGGCAGAAGTGAGTACAGACAGTCCTTGACTTAGGATTTTTCAACTTTACAATGGTGTGAAAGTGATACGCATTCAGTAGAAATTGCACTTCCGATTTTGAATTTTGATCTTTTTCTGGGCTAGAGATGTGTGGTATGATACTCTCTGCCAACGTGGGGCAGTGTCAGCCCCCACAGTTCCCAGTCAGTCCCACCATCACACAGGTAAACAACCGATACTCTGCAGCGCACTGTGTTACCGGAAGAGTTCCCCACAGGTAGGCTGGTGTAAGTGTTCTGAGCACGTTTATGGTGGGCTAGGCTAAGCTGTGATGTTTGGTAGGTTAGGCGTATTAAATGCCTATTTGATTTATGATATTTTCAACTTACAATGAGTTTATCATGATGTAGCCCCATTGTAAGTCGAGCGGCATCTGTAGTTACAACAGACACTGTATGGCCCTAAAGTTAAAACTGTTAATATTTACTCTCTAGCCCCTCATAGAAAAAGCTTACCAAGCCTTGCTCTAGAAGATACATAACAATTTTTCTTCTCCTTTGAGGCTCACAGCAACCTAGCGAGATCAGTAGTATTATTGTCCTCTTATAATAGAGGACTCAGAAGCACAGAGAGGTGAAGTATCCTGCCCAAGGTCACACAGCCAATGTCACAGCTGGACTTGTCCTGGGTACTTTGGTTAGTAGTACCTGTTATTGCTCCTATGGCTGTCAAGGGTGTTTTTGAACAAGTCCCAAGACACTAAATAATAGCTGCCATTCATTTAGTGCCTCCCAGGGACAGGCTTTGTGCTGGGCCCTGGCAACCAGCAGGTGGTTCTGCCCTGGAGCACTTCCAGTTCAGAGCAGAAGCCAGAAAAAGCAGGACGTTACAGCAGGGAGTGGACAGGTCGCTAGCTATGTGAGCCCGTAGTCAGACACAACCCGTTAGGGGTCATGGAAGACCTTGCCAAGGAAAGCAATAATCCAGTTGAGTCCTGCAAGGCAAGTGAGAGTTAGCCAGGCCAAGAGGTGAGAAGCACTCCTAGCAGGATACAGCAGGTGGGGTGGCCCAGAAACAGGACAGGGCTGGGGCTTTCAGGGAAAGGAGAAGGTGGTAGGAGAGGCTGGAAGATGCAAAGGGGCCAGGATCTGTTGGCCACGTGGGCTGTGTGGGGAGTCCGGGCATTATCCTTAGAGAAGTAGCAACCCAGCAGAAGGTTCTGAGCTAGGGTGATGAGGTCAGAGGGGGGCGCATGGCTCAGAGGGGTGAAGCAGGAGACCCAGGAGAGCCCGTCACAGTAACCTCCCGGAAGGGTGGGGATGCCCTGGCCCAGGAAGTGACTCTGGGGACTGGAAAACGCAGCTTCAGAGCTTGTCCTCGCCAGTTCTAGTGCAAATCAGCCCTCCCTGCTATCCTAAATCTACACCCAGCTGCCATCTACCCTGTCCTTCCCGCCAGTCCTTGTCAAAGAAGCACCACAAAATGTCTTAGTGGTCCTTCAGTTTCTGGAAACTTCCAGGAGCACCAAACTGGAGTTGTTTCTCTTAGACACGGGAGTCACACTGAGTTTATTATAAGCTGGGAAACCGTAGGGAGGAGAAGCGGAGAGAAAAATAGGTAAATAAGCTCTGGGCGTTCTGCGCATTGCGTCTTCGGGAATTACCACAGACAGGATCTGCAGGCGCTCGTTAGTGTGCAACCTTGTGACTGGGGTGACTCGGGGTAGCTTCCCAAAGGGAATTTCACCAGTCCTGAAACTGAAGCAAAAATCAGGGTCAGGAAATTTGTGCTCCTCCTTTGAGGTCCTTATCTTGGGGTGTCAGGAACTTCATAAGGCGAGATCGGGTTCAGGACCACCAATCTTCACCTAGATAAACCTGGCTGTGGGCGCACTTTGCTGGGGAGAAGCTGCTTTCCTTTGCAAAGAGGACACTCCTCTTTCTAAGTCCCCTCCTCCTCCTGGAAGAGCGGCTGACGTGTTCTGTTTTCTGCCCACGAAGACACCTACCACGTGGACTGCATGATGCGCATCCGCTTCCACTACGAGAAGACCTGGCAGGAGTGCCTGGCCCACGTGCAGGACTGCAAGGTGGGCGCCCCTGTGGGCCTGAGCAGAGGAATATGCAGAGGGCCCTCTGTGCCCTCCCGGCCGCCCACCCCACTCCCACCCCCTATTCCCCCCAGCCTGGATCAGGCTTCCCTTCCGTCCTCACGGCCCAGGCACTCGCTGGCCTCTGGGCATCCTGCAGCTGTTCCTTCTGACCAGACCCCCTCCCCAGCTGCCCCTGCCATCCTCAGGTTTTAGCCCACGTCACCTGCTCTAGGAAGCCCATTGAGATGAAGTGTGGGCTCTCACATCACCTCAGACTGCACCTGTGACTCTGCGTCACGTCACGCACAGCCCTGCGCATTGTTTATAAACGGGGATCACGCCCTGGGGTTACGGCTACGCCCCCTCTCATAGGTGGGACTGCCCTGCCAGCCCCACTTCTCTCTCCACCCTGCCTGCCTCGGAATGGGGCGAGACAGGGAGTTTGCTCCCACACCTCTTCGCAACAGGGACTGGTTTTCTGGGATAGAGGAAATATTTTGTCGGAATGTCCCCTTCCTGCCTCCTTGGTAAGGCTGTGTCAGTTAAAAAAAAACCCCGAAAGCCTGACTGTTTTGAAGAGTGCTGAGCTGTGAGGGCCTCGCCTGCCCCCAGGGAGCCCCCAGGGAGCTCCTGCATCTCTGGCCAGCCCCTCCAGACCTGCAGGGAGCAGAATTCTGGGGAAGCAGGGCCCTTTGCATGGGAGCTCAGGTCTGACTTGAGCAAGGCTGGCCCCACAGCACGCGGTTTGTGCCTGTGGGGTCCGCAGCCCTAAGCCAGGCCCTGCTTTGTCCCCACTGCCCTCCCCCACCCCCAGAATCAGCTGCTGGACTGGAAGGCCTTCACCGAGACAGAGGCAGAGACCCTGGTGAACCAGTCCTTCTTCCGGATGGTGGGGGTGCTGCAGGGCAAGGTGGAGGAGGACCTGGAGCTCTTGGACGTGCGTGGTGGGGACCCTGGCAGCTGGGGAGGCAGGGCTGGAGGGGGGTGCCTGGGGTGCCAGGCCACAAGGAGATCAGAGTCTGGGGGCCTCCGACCTTTGTGTCCGTATGTGTCCGCTTGCCCTCACCCTCACCAGCCCTTCCCAGAGCAGTGTCCCCTGCGCTGGCCACTCCAGGCTCATCCTCCTGCCCCGTCCCAGCTGCCAGGACATGGGTGCTGTGCAGAGCTCCAGGGAAGCCCTTGCTGGCCCCGGGCGCTCAAGGGCTGTGGGCACAATCAGCCCCCAGCCCAAGACGCTTACTGCCTCAGCGGGGTTGGCACGGGTTTCTGTGAAGGGCCTATTTCTGTGATGATGACTGTTTCAGGTTCCGTGGGCCATCAAGTCTCTGTCACAGCTTGTCAACTCTGCCAGTATGGCACAAAAGCAGCCCTGGGCAACGCAGAAATGAATGACATAGCTATGTCCAGATAACTTTATTGATGGACTCTGAAATTTGAATTTCATATAATTTTCATTTTATTCAATATCTTCTTTTGACTTTTTCCAACCATTTAAAACTGGAATATCCATGCTTAGCTCACAGCGCCAAACAAAAGCAAGCGGAGGGCCAAATTTAGCCTGCAGGCCACAATTTGCCGTCCCCTGCCCCAGATGAGTGCATAAGACATGCATGTTGTTTAAAAGGTGTTGTATGTGAGGGCTTAGCAGCAAGCGAGGTGTCTGGCCCAGGCGCGTGCGTCAGGGAGCTGCAGGGAAGGTGGGAGGGCCCAGGCCAGTATCGGCGTGGCCCCACCTCAGTGCCCAGGCTGGTTTCCAGAGATGGGTGTTCTTTCTTCTAGGCCCACACTCCATCTTCCCCCTGTCAGTGGCTTTTCTAGGGCATAGGACAGGTCTGGAGGTGAGACTCTAGGCTCGGCCAGACCCAGGGCATGGCCTTGGGCAGACCAGAGGTACCACCCCCAGGGAGGGACAGCCAGGAGCCCAGGTGTGGCCCAGAAGTCGACCTTGAGGGAGGGTGCCTGGGTAGTGACAGCAGTGCCGTTCAGTCGTTGGAGACGTGGGGCCCCACGGGTGGGCCCTCAAGGGTCCTTCTCTGGGTTCTGCCGCTGCAGAAATCCTTCGAGGCCCTGGCTCAGCAGACGGAGTGGCAAAGCTCGAATCTCTTCAGGTACTTCCAGGAGGCAGCACAGCTGTGGGAGGCACACCAGGGCAAGCTGTCGGTGCAGGAGCTGGAGCTGGAGAAGAGGCTGGAGGAGCACCAGCAGAAGCACAGCCTGGAGAACCAGGTGCGACCAGATCCGAGACCCCAATGAAAACCTGAAGCTTTGAAACTTGTACAGATGGGGAAACTGTGGCTCACCTCAGTCATGGACCAATTGGGAGTAGCAAAAATCTCCTTGAGCCAGGTGCCAGCTGTGGGATGGATCCCTGGAATCAAAACGTGTCTGTAAGAGAGTACGTGAGAGAGAGAGGGACAGACAGACAGCTAAAATAAGGAGATGATCAAAGCATGATATCACGAATCACACGGTTTATTGCCATACAAAGAGAATTTTTTCCTAGGTTCACGGGGTTTAAAGAGGGGGAGAATAACAAGAACACACCTCACAGGGATACATTCACAGGGGGTACACAAAGTACCTCAACCACGTGGTGAGCAGGTTCCAAGATTATTAAAGTCTATTGCTCGATCAGGATGGACGCAGGCCTCGTGGGAAGTGCAGTCTGATTAAAGCTTGAGGTCTGCCTGTGAGTGGTTTCTCAGGAGAAGCTGGCTTGAAAGCCAACACAGCGGAGAACGGTGATGACACTGCATCCCTGGAAGCCAGGGGTGGTACGGGAGCTGGCGGGGAGCCCTCATAGCCCAAGGCCTGTGGCAGGGCGAGCTCTGTCTCATTCAGAGAAGCTGCTGTTGTTAGAGTGAAAACTGCTGCGGCCTAAGCTCTCCAAGGGTCTGTCAAACTCTCGAGTCCGTGTGTACCTTGAAGTCCAGTAGCTGAGGTCAGTAATTTGCATATGGGATCTGGTAAGACGTCACATTCTCGAAGGGCAGGAGGAATACGCCCCAGGTTCTTATTACAGCAAAACACACGTCATTCACTTAGCAAACCGTGTAGGTGTCTGGAATCATTTCAAAGCTCCATAACTGGGCAATCGAGTGTCTGTGTTTGCCAGTCACGCTGCCCTGGGAGATCCACTGTCCCCACCTGGCCTGCCCTCACAGTCTGGGGCTGAGGGCGATCAACTCAGAGTCTGACTTTGAGCATGACAGGTGAGAGGAGAGTGAGGAGCAGGTCTGACCAGGGCAGTGGGCGTGAGGGGCCTGTCCCCGAGGCGTCCCATCTGAGCTGGGTCCTGGGGTGTACAATGGGCAGGGAAGAACATCCCAGGCACAGAAAAGGGTCCAGAGAGAGCGAGAGCGATGGCAGATTTGGTGCCCCACTTCTATAAAGGGCATCCTAGGCCTGCCCAGGTGCCCGGGCCTCAGTGCCAGTGGCAGGCCCCTGGAGGTCACTCACTCCGTGAGCTCAGGGGCTCACGTCTGCTTCTTCTTGTTTTGGGGGTGGCTGCCAGGCTCTGGAGGCCCAACTTGATAAGCTCTTGGACCAACTGAGGCAGCAGAGCCACGAAGAAACACTGGCAGTTCACCTGGAAAAGGCCAAAGATTTTCTGAAGAACATGAAATCCAGGTAGGCTGACCAGACCCCAGAAGGCAGGAGGGGATGACTGGGAATTCATCTTCAAGGTCACAGGCAGCCTGTGTAGGAGCCCAGAGGCCTACGCAGCGAGCTGAAGATGGAAAGCGTGCCTCTAACTTTGCAGAACATTGTGGTTCTCTGCAGCTCTGCTGTCAGGCAACAAAGAAGCTTCCGGGAGAATTTTGAAAAGTCTGTGGAGGGAGGTTTCAAGGCAACGTATTAATAGTTTAAGGATCAAAAACATGGGGCCTCTTTTTAAAAATTTAAACATATATGCTCTTTCTTAGAGGAAAAACAAAAGTCAACCACTGCAAACGTATAGAGATTTCCCCTCATTCCTCCCCAGTGATTCCTTTTTATGGACATATACATTTATATATATGAATATATACACATATATAAGGTTTTTAAAATAAAGATTGGCTTATACTATGCAAATTGTTCTATAACTGAAGAAATATTTCAATTTTTAAGTGACCATGTAGCATTCATTACTATAGATACTTCATAATGATTTAACTACCCCTCAATTGGTCAGCTGTTTTTGATTGGCTCCGATTCTCAATATTACAAACAGTTCTCTGTGAACTTTCTTATGCCTTTGTACACTAATTCTATAAGGACCATTTACAGAAAGAGAATTGAACTACTAATTGATTGTAATCCTTAGATTGAGTAATATAACTTTAGGTAAGCCTTGATCTTCTAATCTGAGAAACAGATGAAAGCCCGGGCCTTGGAGTATTTGAGGGTTTGACAGGATAACGTAGGTACTATAAAGTTTGAGGACAGAGTTAGGACAGTGGACAGGAAAAGGGAGCTCACATTACAACACACAGAAAATTCTCATGTGTGTTTTCCAAATTTTCTACAAAAAACACGTATTCTTTGTATGATCAGAAAAATAGCCAAAGGACTGTTACTGTCAAAGGAATACCCACATGGCAGCTCTCTGCAGAACTAACTGCCAGATTTCAGCCACCTCCTTGGAGTCAGGGGCGCAGCTCCTGGTGGGGGTCTCCCTCACTCAGCGGAGCCCCACTGAGATAGTGGTCTCCTTTACCTGCCTCCCAGGTATAAGTGTTTTCATGTCCTTCTGACAAAGGAAGTGATGGAGTACCCAGGGATCATACTGAATGAACTCAACTCCTACAGCTTCGACCTCAGCCGACACTTCTTCGTGCGTGAAATCTTTGAACAGGTATGGAGAGGGATGCGGTACACCCAGCCACTCACGAGGACACAAAGGGAGAGGCTGACTTCTTGTTCTGATCTGCTTAGACTTTGAAAGCCATCCCTAACCTTGTAGAGTTGAAATCCATGTCAGGACATCAAGGAGAAAGAAGCTGAAAGTGTCTCTGAAGAGACCATCTCTTTCTCAGTTTAAAAAAGGGTGAAGGTTCAGAATTCAGGGCTCAGGGCTGCATGGATGCATAATGAAAAGGCTGATTTATATGACACTTGGAGTTCCATTCATCGTACCCACCACCGCCAGGTGTTCACCTAAAATACAGCCCTGACCCACCTACTCTCCTGCTCAAAAGTCTCTCACCAAATCCAACTCACAGTCCCTGCATGACCATAGAGGCCCCACACTCTCTGCTTCCCACCTTGACTCTCCCTGGTCCAGCGAAATCACCCCTCTTCCTGCATATGCCCCCTGCCTGACACTCTTCCTCATCCTGCTGCCTCTGCTGGGACCCCTCTGTCTCCACGGGTCCCTACCCCATCCATCCTTCTGGTCCACTACCAGGGCAGGACCCTGCCCACTCAACCTGACCCCTCAGCTCACCTTCCTCACCCCCTCCCACCTCTCCGGTCTCTAAGCATTTTTTTTTTAACTTAGATGTTGTCAAATACAGGAGTTAAGAGTGCCCAATTAGAATGTGTTTCCTGAAGGGCAAGTATGCCTTATTAATTATTATTCAACTTTGATTGTCCTTAGCACAGGGTCTTGCACGTAATGCAGACACAATAAATGCATCTGGGTAAATGCATGAATACCTGGAATGTCCTGGTTTGAATACACCAGAGTTCACTCTTTTCCCACACATCCAGCCAGAGTCCTGATACGGGATACCTGGCTCCTTCCCAGAGAACCTCTGCTCTCAGAAGGGATTCCTGCTTAGATTACAAATAAATGCCTCATTGTCTAACCTTTGAGATCACTCTGGTCACCTGGGTTAAAGGTGTGGACACTGTTATAATCTCACCAAGCCCTATAGGGTTTAAAGGACTTGCCAAGATCCCTCAGCTTGTAAGCAGCTGGGATTCAAATCCAGACCTGCAAACTCCACAGCCCACACTGTTACCCATAACACAGTATATCTAGAACTTCCCCCCGGAGCCTGTGAAGTAGAGAATTTGCAGGGCTAACAAGGGGGCTCCCAGGATCATGTAAGTCATGCTCTTTCTGTCTGTTCCCATCTAGCACTAAAGGCAGCCAATTCCCACCCCTTTGTTGGCATCCCTCAATTTTTATATATATACAATTTTTTTTTTTTTTGGTCCTTTGCTCCAGATCACTACCAAAAATGTGTCAGAACGAGCTTTTATTCCATTACTTCCCATGTGTGCTGTAAGGGTTTGCTAGCCTTCTTGGAATTAAGGAAAACTGGTTTCCTGGACTGGGAACACCCAGATAACTACAGTGAACTAAGTTGGCCAAGGCTTGCATCGGATACTGAAGGGGAAGGGCGGGTCCTTTTACTGAAAAGAAAAGAGATGTCCTCAGCAGTGGCCCTCTATAAAAAGGCGGTGCTGGTCCTTCAATCAGTCGTGGTTTTTCCTTGTAGAACTTGGCTGGAGAAGTCATTTTCAAATTCAGGCAACCAGGTAACACTTTTATAATTCACATTTGATTCTCCCTGACTTCAATCTTACGTATTTGTGGGTTGGGGATGCCCAATCCCGGCAACATTGGTAAATCGTCTCTCCCTGTGCTTTGGTGTTGGTCATCAACAGAAGCACATGAAAAGCCCTTCCAGAAGAGAATTAGAAGACTGAGGAAAAGGCTAAGGACTAAAGTGGAAATAAGCAAAAGTGAGGAAAGCGTAAGTAGAGGGACAAGTTCTACCAGGCCAGCAGAAGAGATGAAAGAAGAAAAACATCAAGAAACAGAGTCCTCCATAACTGAAGAGGTCCTGAGCCAGCAGGAAAAATCTGCACTGAGCGATGAGATGGATGAGTCCAAAGAGGGCTCCATTCAAGGACTGGAAGAAATGCAGGTCAAAAGAGAGAGTTCCTTGAACCAGGAAAATGTGATGGTTCAAGAAGAAAGGAAGGAGGAGGAGGAAGAGGAGGAGAAGAAGGAGGAAGAGGTGAAGGAGGAAAAGGAGAAGGAGGAAGAGGAGAGGGAGGAAAAGGAGTGGGAAGAAGAGGAGAAAGAGGAGGAGGAGAAGGAGGAGGAGGATGAAGAGGAGGAGGAAGAGAAAGAGGAAGAGAAGAAGGAGGAAGAGGAGCAGAAGGAGGAAGAGGCAAAGGAAGAGCAAGAGAATTCTTCAATGGGTGAGGTAGGCCAGCAACTGATTCGTTCTTGGGTAGGGGAAAGTTTGCTCTGTTCATTCTGTGTGTATCCCTAGTATAAGCTGGGGTCCCCGATGGACCAGTCTCCATAGAGATACATATAAAGAATTTAAAAAGTTTTCACACTTTCATACTTTGTTTATTTTTGTGAATAGTGATCCAATTCTTCATTCACAGCAGTGCTTTTGTTTATTTATTTATTTATTTATTTTTGAGACAAGGTCTTGCTGTGTTGCCCAGGCTAGAGTGCAATGGCATCATCATCATCATAGCTCGCTGCAGCTTCAAACTCCTGGGCTCAGGTCTTGGCCTTCCAAGTGCTAAGATTACAGACAGCAATGCCTTTCAAAATCCACCTTCCTCTCCTCATGTTCCTGCAGCCTACTGCAGGTGTCAGCCCTCAACTATATGGCTTTCCTCATCTCTCCATTGTTCTCTCTGTCTCTCTTAGCTCCTCTTCATTGACTGGACCAACTTAGCCTCTCCTACTTCATCCTGGCCTATTCATTCCTTCTCTCTTCCTATTTTCAAAAGATCCATATCCAAGCTGGCAGACAGAGCTCTCCTTTGAGTGCAGGGAAGTGACTCTCATATTAAGAAATCTTGTCCTCAAAACACATTCAAATTTACAGAACAATAAATTGAAATCCATAATTCTGGAATTACAGAAGACTCATTTCCTATATTGCTTTGGAAGAATTGGTAAATGAGACTTCTTTTTAAGCAGGAATTCCAAACTCAAATGCCCACAGGTATATAATAGAAAAGAGGGCCGGAGACTGAGTGTAAAATAATGACAGGTGATAAAGACTGTGTAGTCATTACTCAGCCCCAGCCAAAGATGCCATGTGAGAATGTAGGCTCACCATCATCATATTTTCTGATGTTTTAAGAGAACTCAGAAACCCAGATTTTTATGTAGAACATTCTAATTTTAAAAACGCTATGGGGGCAAAAAAAAAAAAAACTTACAGGCAAAATTTGGCCCACAGGTTTATAACCTCTGCTATTAAGAAACATGTGGTTGACATCCCCAAGTCCGTTTGATGATGTCAAGTCTAAAGTCTTGTTATCTGCTTAGGATGAAGACAATGAAGAGAGTCTGAAGGAGATCCACTATGAGTACATGGAGTCCTTCAAAACCTCCAGTGGAAACATTTATTTTGTCTTCCTGCCCCTGGAAGAAGAAGAGCGTTTCAAGAAGCCCCATTCCTCCTTCTCAGCCATGCTCCTCGACAACACTTCCAGTGCCAAGTACATAGAGCAAGTGATAATTCCAGCCAAACTAATTTTAGAAATTAAGAAAGAGTGAGTAGAAAACTATTTTATTCTCATTCTGTTACTCTGGGTTTTATGAACAAGTTGAAATATTGTAACAAAAGATTAGACTAGTTTCAGCTGGAAAAAGAAAACATATAAATAACTGAGGGAGGGTAGGGATGAGAAATGCAATACAAAATAGCAAATGTCCAGGAATTATTTGCAGTCACAAATATCTTCTGTGAGAGTGACCCCCTATGCCCCTTCCAGGATGCTCTGCTGGCTTGGGCCTCATCCATAAGAAACATTGTTTTCCCTGCCAGATGCTTCTGGGTTTCTAGTTCCTGGCACATCTATACTCTTAAGGTTTCTTTTTTTTTTTTTTTTTTAATTCTATAGATGTATACTATAGGTATGAATATATCATGTATGATATATTCATACTAATTATGTGACACATTCATTGAAGAAAATAGAAAAAGCAACAGTGAAAAATAGACAAATGACCCATAATCCTACCACTGAGAATTTACGTTCCCTGACTCCCAAGTTTCTGGGCCTTTGTGTTAGAGTTCGGACCAAACATGAAAATTTGCATTTGGCTTTTAGATGCGTTTCCATTGCTCTCCTGCCTCTACAATGTCATGGGCAGGACTAATTAGCTAGAGATCATCACCTGGCTAGTCCACTTCCCGTGTTCACACATGGGCAGGAGGCCAAAGACAGGAGGTGGAAGGAGTACCGTCAGGCCTCTGAGCTCTTTCTCCTGCACCTCAGCATCACCGCACCTAAGAAATGTCTCTTGCCTCAAACATCATCCTTCTTCCTCATCTGTCCTCTCCATAGCCCACAGAACAAAGATCAGCAAGGACCACCACAGGAGCTGTTATTCGTTGAGAGCATTTAATCCCTTCAATAACTGTGTGAGAGGTACCATAATTAACTTCATTTTCCAGATGAAGAAACCGAAGCTCAGAGAGTTAGTCATTTGGCCAAGATCTCCAAGACAGGAAGCAGTTAGATCCCAGATGTGAATGTAGACCCTGTAATTCCAGAATCTTGCATCAACCACCATGCCTTGTTATCTAGCTTTGTGACTAACTAGAGAAAAAATTCTGTCCAACCGATTGGATTTGTATATCGGACGATAGCAAACGTTCATAAAAGCATGAGAATCTCAACAAATTACCCATTTATTCTATTTATTTATTCTATTTCCCACAAGAAATAGAACCATTACCAACCCCCCAGGAGCCTCACGTACCCATCCCAAGTTACCACCCTCTCTTCTCCAAGGATAACAAATACAACTTCTAAGTTCATTTTGCTTATTTTTGAACTTTTTAAAAATGAAATCATACAGAAATCACTCTTTCATTATATTTGTAAGACATATATATTCTTGAATGTAGCTAGAGTTTACTTTTTATTTCTATTTGATATCCCATTATAAAAAATATAATCTATTTTATGTATCTGTTCTACCGATGCACATTTGGGTCTCTTCCAATATGGGGATATCACAGTAATGCTGCTATGAACATTCTTACACCAGTCTTCTGGTGAACATATGCGTACATCTCTGTTACATCCATAACTAAGCGGGGAATTGTTGAATCACAGAGTATGTCCATGTCCATCTTTAGGAGATACAGCCAAAAGATACTACCAAAGAGTTTCCAAAAGTGGTTTTAACAGTTTTACAGTCTACAACAGTGTAGGGGTGTTCCAGTTGCTCCACAACCTCAACAGCAGTTGGTATTGTTAGTGGTTTTTATTTTAGCCATTCTAGTGTAATTATAGTGGTGCCTCACTGTGTTTTTAGTTTACGTTTTCCTGATGAGTACTGATGTTGTATACCTTTTCATATACTTGTTAGCCATTTGGTTATCTTTTTGTGAAATGCCTCATGAAATCTTTTGCCTGTTTTTTCTGGTGGATTGTCTTTCTTTGTATGAATTTATGGGTGTTAGTTACATATCCCATGTGAGGCTTGTATCACATAAATATATGGCAAATGTTCATCTCTCTGTGCTGGCTGATTATACTCTCTTTAAACGTGTCTTTTGATGAACAGAAGTTCTTATTTTTAATAAGGTCTCATTTGTCAATTTTTTTTCATTAGAGTTAGTTTACTCTGTGTCCTAAGAAATTTTTGCCTGCTCCAAGGTCATGAAAATAGTCTCCAATGTTATGTATTAGAAATATTCTTTTTAAAAACTTCCGTATTAACATCTAAAAGGTACCTGGAATTGATTTTTGTTTGTGGTGTGAATAGGAGTCAAGGTTCATTTCTTTCCCACATGGAGAACCAGTTGACCCGGGGCCATTTAATGAGAGACTCTCCCTTCCCTCACTGCTCTGCCACGCTCCTCTTCTGCTCCTGTGTGTGTCTCTCCTTGCACAACCACCTCACACTGCTTGGTTACTATAGCTTTACTCTAAGTCTTAATACCTGGTAGTGTAACTCCTTCAACTTTGGTCTTCTCCGAGACTGTCTTCGCTATTCTCAGTCCTTTGTATTTCCACGTACATTTTGGAATCAGCTCATCAGTTTCCATAAGAAGACATCTGTTGAGATTTTTTTTTTCTTTTTACTGCATTGAATCTATAGATTCATTCTGGGAGAACTGACGTCTTAACAACACTTGGCCAAAAAAGCACCATAAACTTTAAAAAGAAAGAAATGATAAGCTGGGAATCCATATTTGCAACTCAAATCAAAGTCAATGAGCCTCATGTCCCCAATATATTAAGAGCTCCTAGAAATTGATTTTTTAGAAAAGAGCAGCTATACACAATAGAGAAATGGAGAAAAGACATTAATGGACAGCACACAGAAAAAGAAATTAAATATTATTAAACACACAAATATATGCTTGATCTCAGTCATATGACAAAATTGTTCAATTCACAAGTTTGACAATACACTCTGAGGCTGTGGAGAAACAGGAACTATTATTCGTTGCTGATGGGAGTGTAAGCTGCCTTCCAGGGGCAACAGTATGGCCATATCTGCCAAAACCACAAATATATTTTAACCTTTGATTCAGTAATTCCAGTTCAGAGGCATTTATCCAGTGGAAACATTTCTAGGCTTGGCATATGGACAAGGCTATTCTTTGCAGCCTTCTTTGTAAGAGTGAAAGGTTGGAAACCACCCAGTGTCCTTCAGCGGGTTAAATGAATGGTGGTTCATCCGCACAAGGAAATACAATGTAGTTGGGAAATAAAATGGGGAAAAAGGAGTGAAAGGGTCTCGATATGGGGAGACCTCTCATGGGACATGATTGTTGGCATGACCCTGGCTGGTCTCTCCCTTAGACTTCGAGCTGGCTTCTTCGAACACCTGGAGAAGTGGTTTGACCAGTGTGCCCTCAACGCCCGGGTCATCGTGGCCACCAAGATTGATGAGCTGGATTCAGAACTGGAGCTGCGTCTGCACCTGCACCAGCCAAGAGCCCAGAACATTGAGAAGGACATCCACAACGTCAGGGCAGGTACAGACCCTGCCTGGGAAGGCCTGTCCTGCCCCCAGCCCCTCCCTCAGCATCTGCTCCACTGTGGCTCTGCATTCACTGGCTGTCCTTCTTCGCACCATGCAACATTTAGCATGTCCTCAGCACACCACGGAAGATGTGCACGAGGGCTCGCACCTCCCAGGCTTGCAGAGAAAGGTAGTTCTCTGAATCCCTGTTTGAGAATTGTTTTTCCTTTTTGTTTTTTAAAAAAGTGTGTTAGATTCAGAAATGAAGAGTATTGTCCTTTTTAGGTCTTGGATCCCAGATCTGCTCACATATCTATCAGATACTCACCTGCAAGGTGGATGCTCTAGAGGCAAGCATGTAGCTCAGGGATCAGAACACTCAGGCTTAACTTCTCTGGCTGTGTGACTCTGGGCAGGTTATCTGACCTCTCTGACCCCCCTCCCCCAACCTGCAGAAGGGTGTATGGGTGAAAGTTGTGGCAGGTAGTAATGAACACTCCTGAAATGACATGAGCACCTGGCACAAGATCTGTATCCCAAAGTGGTAGCCATTATTTCCGCCTAATCACTTACACTTAAAAAGATAAGCATATCCCTCTTAGGTGGTGGGCCCTATTAATGGGGGGGGGCACATTTAGTAGGATCCTTTAATGACCCCTGTCGGGTTTCCACTCAAATCACACGCCGAGCTCCATCGTAGCCCTCTAGAGCTAGCAGAGTACCCCTTCAGGATCCCATGCAAACTCCTGTTGCCTGGGCCAGGGAGAGTTGTGCAGGCAGATAACTGGCCTTGAATCTCACTGCTTGCTGCCCCAGCAACTTGCCTGGCATTTGGCACCTCACTGTCCTTATCTGGAAAATGCGTGCACTAAATGCACCGTGAGGAATAGAAAAGATCATGCATGCCTCCTTCCCTGGCTCCCTGGCCCAGCATTCAGTGTGGAAACTGAGGCCAGAGAAATGAAGGTCTCACGTCACTCCATTTTTTAGCAGAGCTGGGACCATAGCACTCCCACCACTTTAGACAATAGGGGGGTCAGACGGGCAAACGTGGGGGCTCTCTGCTTGCACTAAAGGTTTGTGATAGGCTCTGGAAGCCCAAACCTTAGTCTTTGTACTCTACCTTGGAGGCCAGTTGGAATTCAGGCTCACTGGAGACGATTATCCGCTGATGTAAAGGAGCAAACCCAGACTGCTCAGCTTCGTGCTTGTTGTCCCCCCAGACCCCCTCACCCAGATCCTAGCCCTCCCCAGCACCACCGCCCATCCCACCTGCTGCTGGGCTGTTCCTGGGACTCTCCACCTCCCTGGCTTTGTCCGCTCTGCCTCAGACAGGGTGTCTCCAGCAGTGGGGAGAGTGCCTGGCTCAGTCTGGCCTCCCTGAGGTCAGAGCCCATTCCTAGCCCAAGGCCTGGCGAGGGCAGCAGGGGCAGGACAAGGAGACCTTCTCCCAAACTGTCCCTGCTCTGCAGCTGGCCCAGGAGGGGCTACGGGCAGGCATTGTTCCAGGAAAGGGATGTGCTAAGGGGAGTGGGGTTCCAGAGGTCCTTGTCCTTTTGCAGCCGAACTCCTGCTTCATCAAGAGCGGTTGGACAGCCACTGCGCGGGGGTGGTCGAGGTGCTGAAGAAGAAGAGGCTGATGTTCTGCCAGTTCCAAGAAGAGCAAAACATGAGGAGCAAAAACTTCCGCCGCAAGATTCATGACATGGAGCACGTCTTCTTGAACGCCACCAAGAGCCAAAAGTAAGGGGCCCTGGGAGTCTCATCCCACCCACGTGGCTCTAGAACCCCAGCTAGGCTGCTACTTTCACAGGAGCTGTCTCTCCCTGTCCAAGAAGGAGCAGAAAGCACCGCAGGAGCCCTCTTTTGAGTTACCCTCTTTAGGAGAGGGGGGAGTGAGCAGGGAAGAGAACAAAGGGAGGTGCACATAGTCAGCACCCAAGGCTGCCAGCCACGTGCCATGAACATCAGTGGTGGGAAAGATAGCTTCCCATCAGGGAAACCAGGAAGGGCTTCCTGCAGGAGGCGGCCTTTGAGATGAACTCAGAGGCACCCTGCCTGGGATGGAGGAATGTGAGAGGGGGCTGGGTTCCCCAACCAGGGAAGGAGCTCAGGGTAGAGCAGGGGGCTCCAGGGAGGCCATGCAAGGATATGAGATGGCGGCCTCAGCAGCCACAGGGAGGAGGCTGGCAGGTGTCTGCACAGCCGTCAGGCACATGGGAGGCAGCTGGTGGGGTGGACTCGGTTGTGAAGAGGAAGCTTGCAGCGCACTCTCAGGAGAGTACCAGGTGCAGGAGCCACGTTGCCGGGATCAGACACAGCCTGCTGGAGGGAGGACGATGATCCCGTAGGGCCTGGGATTCTTTTATCACTTTGGTGCCAGAGAAAAGAGAGGGATGCCCTCTGACCAGCACACGCAGAGTGACACACCGTGTGTTGCACATCCTGGAACTCTGAACTTCCCTATACTGCCTCCTTTGCTAGCCAAGAAGCTGGGCAGTGGTTCTGGTGGCCCCACAGCTGGGCATGGCTCGTGGAGCTCAAATAGCCTCTCCGAATGTCATCCCAGGCCCAGGTCATCATTCAACACCCCCAGGCTGGTCACTCAACACCCCGAAGCTGGTCACTCATCAGCATCCTGCCCCTTCCATGCCCCCAGGCTGGTCACCGTCACCACCTGCCCCTCCTCTGTCCCCTAGGGTGGTCCCCCATCACTGTCCTGTTCCTTCTCTGTCTCCCATAGGCTGGTCATTCTCAGCAGTACCCTGCAGCGGGAGCTGCTTAGCTATGTCGACGTCACGCAGGTGTCCCTGCGCAGCTTCCGGCAGTACTTAGAGGAGAGTCTGGGCAAACTCCGCCTCACAAACATCGAGTTTGTCAAGCACTGCAGGTGGGAGCCGGCGTCCAGGCCTCTCCAGGCCATCGGGTTTCTTTACTGGGGAGTCATCTCGTTTCCCCCTTAATTTTGTACTTTGACAAAATATACATAAAATTTACCATTGTAACCATTTCTAGGTGTACAGTTCAGTGACAGTAAGTACATTCTCATTATTGTGCTACTATCACCACTGTCGGTCTGCAGAAGTTTCTCATCTTCACAGCTAAAACTCGGTACCATCGAACACCAGCCCTCCATGGCTCCTCCCCCCAGCCCCTGGCAACCACCTGTCTGCTTTCGGTCTCTATGAACTTGACTACTCTAAGTACCTCGTATAATTGGAATCATATACTTGTCCTTTTGTGTCTAGTTCATTTCATTTAGCATAATGTCTTCAACGTTCTCCATGTTGTATCATGTGTCAGAAAATCATTCTTTTTTAAGGCTGAATAATGTGCCACAGTATGTATGTATCACATTTTGTTTATCCATTCGTCTCTTGATGGACACTTGGGTTGTTTCCACCTTTTGGCTATTGCGAATAACAGTGCTAGGAACAAATGCCTATTTGAAGCCCTGATTTCAATTCTTTTGGGTATATTCCCAGAAGTGGAATTGCTAGATTATATTGCAATTCTATGGTTTGGGAGGAATCATCATACTGTTTCCATAGCAGCTGCACCATTTTACATTCTCATGAGCAATGCACAAGGGTTCCAATTTCTCCATGTCCTTACCAATACATGTTAATTTCCTGATTTTTTTTTAATAACAGTCATCTTAATGGGTATGAGGTGGTATCACATTGTGGTTTTGATTTGCATTTCCCTGATTAAGGGTGTTGAGCATCTTTCTATGTGCTCATTGGCCATTCTCTCCCCTTATTTTTCCCCCTGAGATTTTAACTCCATCCTAAATGAAAATAATCCTGGATTTAGTCTTTGGCATTTGTGAAAAGATATGTTTATTTTTTAAAGCTTATGTTATTTTAAAAATCACAGATCTTTTACTCACTATAACATAATCAAACACAGATGCATATAGAGTTAAAAGTGGAAGCCCTCAAAAATATATTTTTTTATGTGCCTGTACTTAGGCATACACAAGCAAAAATTATTATTTAATAGTTTTTTAGTAAAAATGGAATCCTAGTATGCATACTGACCTACAATCCCCCATCCCACTACCATTAAATCGTGGTGGAGTGGAGGCTAAAGGAACTTTCTTTCCACTCCCTAAAATTTCAATGATTTGAGTCTATAACAGGCAGATTGACAGGAGAAAAGGCATACGGATTTATTAACATGCAAGTGCATGGGACTCACACAAAGTATGAAATTCAGAGGAGGGCCAGATGGTTGAAGCTTAAATATCCTCTTCATAGGGGAGGGGGAAGGGGGGGATGTAGGCATTTTTAGAGGAAGAGTAAGTGATTTTTAGGGGAGATGAATAGGCCCAAAGAACAGACAGTAGCCTGGGACACTCTCTGGGCTCCGGGTGTGGTGTCAACTGTAGTCTTCCTCCCCGCAATATCATCAGTTTCCCCTGGTTGGGGAAGGGATTCGCAACAGCTGAAAATCTTCTGGAGGACCCAACCTTTAGGTAGAGAGGGGAGCTTCAGAGAAAACCTTTCCCTGCATTCACTGCTCCCCAGGTGCTCTCAGTTTGAAGTCCAAAGCGGCACCTTTTTGGGGGTTTTGGGGTATCATTTTCTGAACTCTAACAGTGGGCACCTTCCATGTTGCTATCTGCAAGGCTTGCATTTGTTTTAAATATTACTGAGATTTTTCTGATAATAAAAATCATATTTTTTAAAGAAAATGTGGAAGGTAGTGAAAACTAGCACTATAATTTGACGTTTGTGAGGCATCTCTACCTACTTATTTCTGTATCACTCTGTGTATTTTAGCTTCATTGCAGCTAATTTCTTCATATTGTCCCTCCTCGTCATTGATTGACTCTGTAACCATGTTGAATCTCCTGGTAAATCTATTCATTGAGTTTTCAATTGTGATTATTATAGTTTCCACGTGTAGTTATATTTGATTCTTTTTCAAAATTGCCTGCTCATTTCTTCAAGTTTATCTTTTATTTCTTGATGTATCTTAAACCTAGTTATTTTCTGATCTAAGTCTGATAATTCTAATATCTGAGGTCTTTATGGAGGATCTGTTCCTGTTCTCTTTTGTTTTTGAGGCCTGGACCGACACTGGCTTCCTTCTGAGAAAATCCTTGTTTGTTTCTGCTGAGGGGCACTACCTACCCAGGACCAACTGGAATTCTCTGCTTGGGTTTTTTTTTTGATCACTCCAGAGAATATGAATTCAGTTTGTAAATGTGTATGAAGTCTAGTTTGTGCTATGGCTCTCAGGGGAGAGATCTTTCTTTCCTCCCTGTCCTTGGATGTAGACAGGCCAGACTCCTGGTTTCTGGTGGAGTTCATTCCTCACTCAATTTCATACTGCAAGTGTTGTCCTCTGGGTCCAGCTCTAGGCTGTCGCCTCACCTGTGCAGTCTTCCTGGCTAAAATAGTCTCCAGGGCAAAGCCAGCTTTGGCACCCACCCACATTCCAAGGAACCTTCTAGTCTCACTTCATCTGGAATTCTTATCTTTATGCAGCTCCAAGAAAACTATCTTCATTTTGAATTTTATCCAGCATTTTATTTGTTTCTGTTGGGTCTGTCAAGGTGTCCAGTCTGACAAACTGACACAAATGGAAATTCTGCGCCATTTGCAAATCCCCACTCCTCTACTTGAGCTGCCTACATTCATTTCCCATCATCTTGTGCTTTCAGTCTGAGCCCTAGATTAAAAGTGTGTTAAGCACAGTATGTGGGACAGGTGGGAACTTTCAGGTCTTGTAGGGAGCGTCCCTGGGCAAAATTGGCTTAAGCCCAGAGTCAGCGAAATTGGGTATGCTCTCCTTGGCGCCAGAGGTCAATAGGCCCGGGCACGGCCTGTTGACCAAATAGAACTATTCCTCATGACAGATAGCTTTATGACAGATAACCAAGCGTGTGGGGTCTTGCAAACAAACCAAGGCATCTCATTGTCCTGCATACGGTAATGAGATAAAGAAGTTAAGATGCAAGAAGTTAAGATGCAAACGTCTGCTTCCCTTAAGCAATTGTCTGGAAGGAATGAAAATGTATTTTTCTCAGGGCGCCCAAGGTAGTCACGTGCCAGGAAGTAGCTACCGGACAGAGAAAAGTATAAGAATAAAGCGACTGGTACAAATCGAGTACTGCAGTCTTGTATGTCTTGTGTGTGTCTGTGTGTTTCTTTTTGTGTCCTTGCCCCGTTCTGCAATCTGGGCCGCGACAGGTCTTATTAGTGGATTTTACTTCTCAATTCTTTTCAGATTGTTTTCTGAGGGAGGCAACTTTTCTCCTGAAGAAATCAGTTCACTGTGTCATCGACTGGAGAAGGAAGCTTCTCGAATAGAGTTTGTTGAAAGCTTAATCATGCTCTATATGGAGAAGATGGAGACTGATTACCTGGAACAGGTGGGGGAGTCCAGCCCTGCTCTCCAGCCAGGCCCGGGGACCAGCGGTTACAGAGTGTCGCCCTGTTCAGCTCCCCTGAAGGGAGGGCCAAGTGTCCCCGCCCCACCCCCCCCTTCGCCAACCTCTAATTGGGCCTATCCCCCTCCTCTTCCAAAGTCCAACAGTTCCAGTTTAAGCGCCCCT